AGGACAATGGGCAAAACGCACGCGCACGCCAACAATGTAATTAGTATGAATCGATAGATCTATGAAAATCTAGCCTTTTTTATTATGTCACCGAAAATAAATATCCTGGGAGTCAAAAGATATGACACCGTAAAAAATAACCTGGTAGTTAATAGATATGACACATGGGCATATTTAAGTAGCTGAATAAATTCATTTTATAATACCTTCATTTTATATTATTAGTAATCATAATAATATGCCATATCGTACTATACAACTAGATATACGACAAAGCCTGCCGACCATCCTGCGCTTGCTCTTACTGAGACATTTCAAAACGGTTTACGGATGCTGAAGGACTTGCAGTTGCAATTAGTCGACTCGTCTTACGTTGTGATTGTGCGCTCCCTGCTATTTGATTGATTTTTAACTAACACGCTTTGGATATTGGAACACGATTATCGGTTTTGTCAATTAGTATGGATGAACTGGAATCATGTGTTCTCCGAAGCGTGGACAAGTAAGTTTGTGTAATCTGTGGTCGCTCCGTTTTACATAAAAGACAATTTACTTTACCGAACAGAATGTTTAAAAAAATCCCAACCCATGCGGGGATTTTTGAATTTACTCTAGCGCGGCAGAATAATATAAGGGGACACGCTTGCACCTTGTGAAGTACTCCCATAATTCATGAGCACACTATGTAGGGTCGAACTAACTAACTAAATTAATTTCTTTGTTTCTTCGTTCGTTCGTTCTTCGTTCCTTTCTTTGTTCGTTCGTTATAGTACTTGTACAAATTTAACTTAAAATAACTAAAGACCCCCGGGATGGAATTTGATGCGCTTTAGCACAGATGATCTTGACTATAATACCTTTCAAACAAATGTACTTTAAGCCGTGGCAGACGTGGGTGCAGCGTTCATACATTTTTGCCCAATGTCCTTTTGAAGCGAACAAATGCAACCTTGTATGACCGACCGATAAAATAAGTTTTATTGTTGCCTCGTCTTTTTATTTTATTATCGTAGTCACGAAATGAATCAAAGTTATAAATTACCTTTAGAAAAAAGTATTTTACTACCCGAAAAAACCTTAAATTCGGCAGAAAGACAATAGGCAACAGTATATTAGTAAAAAAATCTAGACTATTAAATAAAAAGAGAATGACTGACTCATTAATGTGGAAGCGAAACCCCTGAACCTAGAATGATGAAATTTTGACAATAGATACTTTTTATGAACCACACAAGTAATAAGAAAGGATTTTAGAAAAAAATACCCCTAAGTGTGTTAAATAGGGGTTGAAAGTTTGTATGGATTTTTAAATTTGTTTTGAGTCCTTTTATTTAAAATATGCTAAAAAGACTCTCAAATTAAAATAATCGAAAAAACATATTTCAAGGTTTTTGAAGTTTCCATCCTTAGGGTGATATATAAGGGTTTGAGAGATTAATAAATAAAAAATAAAAATAATTTATTTCGGACAACAGCAGCCCATATCAACCATACAAAATCAAACAATAAATTAACATTAAATTAATTTACAAAAAACATCATCAATAATAAATAAATATAACAAGTCAATCTTTTCACATTTATAATATTCAGAATTTGACTCAGTCACTCATCAATATAAAGGCGTCGTTTATCTTTGCTGGTGACATTTCTCATGATTCCGATGAAGGGTTCACAACCAAAACACCTTAACCCGTGATTCTGAAGTGCACTAGAGCAGACAAAGTAAAAGCTTGCTTGAAGTCATCTGTTTTCAATTTAAGAACTAACACGAGAGCTCATTTAGTAGTTGGTGATACAAGATTTTCAGACCGGCTATTGCGACTTGCAAGACAGGATGGTCACATAGAAATAAGTGATTTAGGAACCATAATTCATACCCCTGTCTAGGGTATAATTTCACAGGCCCAGCTGCTGGGCCAATGACACAGTGTGTGGGTGGCACACACCTCGCATATCCATAATTCCAACAAATCTACCTTTTTAATTTAAAAGCCTTCAATTTCCTGTTAAAGTTTCTTTTGCACTTACTATTATTAAATCGCAAGGCGTTTTTTATGTGAAATGGGTGGATACTAGCGTATGGGTCGACTCACGGTAATTGGCCATCATAGCCTATAGATGCTTGCGATACCAAAAATATCACTCGCACCGTTGCCTACCCTTTTTTTTATACGCAGGCAAAAAATACTGTTTACAGACGATGGCGCCTTTAAGAGGCACACCGGCGAACGGACCTCACACCTGGCTCCCGCAAGCAAGCCCCAGCAGTGACTACCCACTGAGGACCCCTCTTATCTTACGGGCGCTTTGCGGCAAAATATACGCTAAAAAACCCTGCGAATACCCTCTAAGCTGCTTAGCCGCTGGATCCCCGTTTACGGATTCTTCCGCGTCTCCGCACCTAGCAGCCTCCCACGGCAGGGGTCTCCCGGGGTATCGAGGGACCCCGCACACTTGCGCAGGATGGCCCGCGCATGGGGGCTGAGTGCGCGGCCTAGTGCCCACCGTATCGCCCCCGTCCGCTGCGGAGGGCTACATGAGCGTGCCCGTGTAGCTCCCTCCGCCGCCCCCCTCTTTGTAGGACAGAACTACAAGGGGGGGGGGGGCTGCCGTCACGGGGTACTCACTGACAGAAAAACAACACCACCAAAAGTGTTATTTATTGTGGTCTTTACTTCGTACTTTACTTTTGACTTTACTTGACATACACTTTACTTTTGGCTTTATTTTGTAAGGATACGATGAAGTGCAGTTGAATTCTTTTTCTTATGGACAACTTTACTTTGGCCTACGAACAGGCAATCTCGAAACCAATATATTCTAGCCAAATCTAAATCTAATTTACGTAGAAATACATTAGACCTTACCTTTATATGAACGATCTATAATGTATAAAAACTTTATCACCCATTTCAACCATCTGGGGATATCCACTATCCTATATAGTTTTTTAGTTCGCCTATTCCTATCAAAATAGTCGCTTCAATTATCCGAGCAACTCCGGGTCTGGGCGCTATTATATTATATGTTATAGCGGATAATATTATAGTACTGTATGCTATAGTGGTATATATGTAATGTGAAGAAATCATTTTGTAACTGTTACAGTCATAAGATACAGCCCGCTGACAGATGGACGGATGGATAGCAGAGGCCTATAATTAGGTCAAAATCAAAGAACAAGTTTAATAATTTAATCCAGTCAGTTACTTGCCGATAAATGGCGATGAAAAATGTTAACTCTTCTAGTGTGTAGAGTTCGGTCTGTTACACGGGAAGTCCCCATTTTGCTTACCGACTTTTCGATTAATTACCGTTGGCTTAAACTGTGTACATATTTAATACACATGTTGCAGAAAACGGATAAGATTATTAACATTTTTATGACAGTTTCTAGGAAATAATTTTTGTATCTAGGTCTCGAACAGATAATGATAAGATAATGTTTATCGATTAGTCGCATAATGACACTAAAGGTACCTACATCATACCCATGTTGCAGATATCAGTATTAATTTTGTTACAGTAGTTTCATGATATGATTTTCGATTTGTTGAAATAAGTATGTTGCTTAAAGGATGTTTTTGTAATATATTTAAACTGGTCGATTTGTATAACACCTCCACCCGTGGAGAGTCATTTTATAGATAATGCAAATGCCAACAATCTAGATTGTTCTGAGCAACAAACAGTACCTACTTTATTTTTTTACTGTCAAATGGCTAGTACGTATACTTTCTAATACGTTGACGGGATTCGAAAAAAGTTCAAATTATCAAGAAGCATAATCATAATCATTTGACGACCTCCGTGGCCGAGTAGTTTGTACGCCAGGTTTCATGGTGTCTCCGACTCGAGAGGTCCTGGGTTCGAATCCCGGTGGGGGCAGATGTTATTGTGATGAATACGAGCATTTGTGCTCCAGTCATGGATGTTTAATACGTATTTCTATATAAATATACTTATATATGTACAGTACATGTATTCTATCCGTAACCCTAGCTTCCCACAACACAAGCCTTACAGTGTTTACTTTGGGGCTAGGCTAATTGGTGTGAGTGTTGGAAATATTTATTTATTTATTCAGTTTAGGCTGTTACAAGCACTCATGAATGTCTAGAAGCTACGCTATCAGTTCGTAAATCTTCGGCGGGAGACCTTGTACTGAGAAGAACCGGCAAGAAACTCAGCAAGGGCTGTTTTTTCCTCCCTGTTAGAAGAAGAGGATGTCGGGAAATAACAAAATGAAAATAACTGAATACTCAATTATTTGGGTAAATAAATAACGTACACAATTTGTTTAGTGTGTAAAAAATAAACATTTTTATAATAGCTTTCACAGCCTATATTATTAAAATACATCATAAAACAAATATTACTATATTGCAATATTTTTGGTTAAGTATCAATTTATTGAACTGATAAGAGAAAGAATTACATATTGCATTGTTATGTTGATTTTTAATTAAGTTTAATTATTAAAATTACTATGCTTTCATAACTTAAGCCAGTTAAATCTCGGAAAAACAAATCTTGAAACTCATAAATTAATGTTGATCTTATAGATAGTGTATACCTACTCCTTTTATAAGGTTTAAATACAATTATTTTTCATCTTTTGATTTCTTACATACTACAACTTAAATAGCTTACGTAGTATTCATTAGGGACGGCATATAATACGCCATGAGGAAATCAAATCTTTAAAAGCTAGAAACATTTTGAGCTTCTTGGAAGCTGTCGGGCTAAAAGAGATACTTTAACTTGGTGGCGAGTCACAATAGATCTTATAGGTCGCAGTGACTACACTCCCATTACTAGGACTGCATAGCCCCAAAAAATCTAAATAATAATAAATAGCTTTAAATATTGATTTTCATGAAAAAAAAAACTATCAGGATGTCATGAAATACTAAGGAAAGTAGCTATAAAAAGAAGAACAAAAGTAATTGAGACTTTTGTGGAGGAATTGCAAAGATCCGAGTCGCAAAGCTTACAACTCTGTAAGCTGCCATCAAAGTCGCCCCCTATTGCTTCCCGACATAGTGATTCGTTGTCGTTTGATGCTTCGGAGCAACCACGCACTACATTTTGCTGACCATTCACTGTAACAGAAAACAATCTAGTAATGATAACGATAACGATTTCAAATTCTGCTACGGCGGATGCTACATATTAACAATCCATTAAGTGGATAAGATATGTATATATATGTAATTTATTTTTAAGCATGTTACAATAAATAAATTAAAAAAGAAAACAATTTTAGAATCCATTTAAAAACCACTTGAACTATACTAACAATTCAATTATATTTATAAGCATTAATTTCAAATATTAACTTAAGTATACTTTTATAATTCTCAAGGAAAGGACACTGGGCAAAAATTTATGAACGCTGCACCCACGTCCGCTACGGCTTAAACTACATTTTTGATAGCTATTATAGCCATGATTATAATGTACCAAAGCGCATCGAATTCCAACCGGGGGGTCTTTAGTTATTTTAAATTAACTAGGTATATATAAATACTAAAACGAACAAACGTTAATGATACAAAGGAATTATTTATTAAACATTTATTTCTACACATAAAATAGAGTATAGTGAAGTATCGTTATGTAATTTTGGGCATCAATGTGGAGACCGAACGCGCTGGACACTAAGCAACTCTAAAATGGCCTCTGACCAAAAATTTACCAACCCGAGTTTTGAAAGGCACGCTAAACAGTTGGATCCGGCTAAATCGACAGTCGTTAGCTCCCACCAATTCACCCTAGGCTCACTAGATAGAATTTCTCCGAGAAAACTACCTCCGTATTGTGATTGTTAATAGGTTTATAATGATGACAAGCAACTGAAATTTTGTGCAATTTATAATATAATTCCACTTATAAAATTACCTTCGAAGAATGTTACGAGACATCTCATGTTGCTCGAATCCTCATCTCTTGTTTCACGTTTTCCTCTTGCAGGTGAAAAATTGAAAACATTATGTACCATCTGGAACAACGTTATATAATAAAATATATTACAGAAATACTAAATTATAAATGAACATTATAATTGTTATGATACTGCATATATGTATTATTTATTATTATCAAGAAAATTGTATGTTTGTAGGAAATGTGAAAGTGTGCTTTATAAGTTATGTTTCACAAAATTTAAAATTTGTTTTCACATCACACGTTGTCGTAAACGTAATGTTTTGTTTCCATAGGACCATACCTGAACATTATATTGCGGATCAAATTCTGCCCAAATTGTTTTATTCACATTTGGTTCACTAGTTGTATCATCCGTAATTTGGCTTGTGGATAACGTATTTGTGGTAACAGTAGAGTTAGTATTATCAGGAGGTGAGTCTGTTTGATTAGACGGTATAGTAACAGGAGGTGGACCTGGTGGCATAGTTATGGAAGGTGGAGGAGAACGTTCAGTGGTAGTCGTTATAGTTGGCGTGGTAGTTGGCGTAGTAGTTGTAGTTGTCGTAGTAGTTGTAGTTGACGTGGTAGTTGTATTTGATGCTTCAGGAGCATCTGTTGTATCTTCGGGAGTTACTTCGGTGGTAGATAAGTCTGTTTCTGTAGGTGCAATTGTAGAAGGTGTTTGAGGTGCTAAAGTCGTTGACTCAGTGGAAGGTACGACCGTGGTTCGAGGAGCACATGTTTGTATGTACTCCTCTGATACAGTATGGCATCCATTACACACGTAACACCTAAGAGCGTCACCTGTAACCACAATGCGTAAGTAAATATGTTTCTTAGTTATGAGTATTTTATTAAAATAAAAAAATAGGAAAGAATGTTGTAAATCTAAAGACAATATAACTAGAAAAAATTCCACGCGGACCAGGCAGGGACTGGTCCGCATGGAATTTTTCTAGTTATATTTTCTTTAGATTTAAGCATCGAGCAGTTACATGCTGGAAAAAATAAAATTATAAGAATGCTGTATCAAGATCACGCTTATGCTGCATGCATATCTGATACGTACAATAACAATCAATTAAGAGCAACATTTATAAATTTTGGTGGATTAAATAACTTTATAATTTCTCGCACAATCTTTTCATTTAGTCGATGCAAATTCGATAACTTTTTGCTTATCAATTATCGATCATCGGCGCTTAGTGGAAATTCTTTAATCGACAAGCTTCGTTTGAGTAAATGATTATTTACAATTCTATATATAGAAGGTTATTTATTATTTCGGTAATGTTTTAAAAATAGGTGGCAAAAAGGCATGGAGTATTGAAATCTTTCAAATAAGAAATTACTAGTATGTATTTAAAAAATTAATATCTGTCGATTGACCATGGGGCTTAATATTAATGCCTAAATAATATTCAGTATATTAATAATATAAATGCATCGCACCATCGTTATAAGACCATGTTTAAATCTTTTATTAAATAAATTGTTATCATCTGTAACGATTTGAAGCAAAAAGATACAACTGTTAATATAGTTCGCTTAGAACATTTACTTACTGTTTCCATAATAACTAATGATGATCAAGGTAACACACAGAAGAAATTTTTCACTTGTCATAATGCCTTGGTGGCCTTGATTGTTTCGCACAATTATAATAAAAAGACTGCTGAGTGCGCTTGCAAAAACTTTATATATTGCTAATTTATCAAAGATAAAGAATTATATCTTTTTTTTTTATTAATTACATTCTGATAATTTTAATCAACAGGAACCACATTGCATCACTAATATATTTGTTATAGTTTGGTCGTCGTGTCTTTTTACCAGTGTTTGGGGTAAATTTTTGAAACAGTATTTTATTACTGAAATTTATGTTTTCGAGGATGCTGAATCCGAATATGAGGATATTAGTAGAAGGATTTTAATTTCCACCATGGCTCTCCGAGCCAATATAAGGTGCTCAAAACCCGATTTCAGGCTAAAGTTTGTTTTTGTTTAAAAAAATCATTAATCATATGAATCGCTAGTATTTTTGTTGCCTTTTAAATGGAATTGGGGATTTTTTTGTTATTTGCAAAAAAATTTTGCGTATTGCATAGGTATTTAAAAAAACTTTATTTCTCAATTGAACATCGTTTCACTTTATGGGTAACATACACAAAATAATACACACACAAATAAGTACCAATTAAAAAATTCGAGTAGGTATCATATAGCGTCAATGAAGCAATTACCTATATGACTCAGAACCTTAAAGAAACATTTGTAATGTATAGTAAAATGTTGGTGGCCTATTGTTGCGACGGCTAATCAGCTGTAGGTAGAAAAAGTTCAAATAAATCATAATATATGAAACGAAAGTGTATACACCCCGGCAAACTTCTTGAGCAACGACCTAAGACAAGGAAGCCTGCGCAGTAGCAATTTTACATAGAAAAACGTCTTACCATACCGTCTTGCCAGACGTACCGGTACCTGTAGTAGTTTATTTTTCTCTGGTTTTGCTCAAGAAGTTTTCCGCTACCTATACCTAAGTAAAGAAAGTTAAAGCCTACGAGGCTACGAAATTTAAATATTAGTTACTAGTGGCCCACCTTTGCTTCACTTCGGTGAAGACTATAGTATTTGTTCTCAGGCGTGTATTCAACATAGTAGGGGAGTCCGGGATGCTAAAGTTGCAATTACTAGAGCGTCATGGGGACCTATTGGATTGTGAAGATTAGTTTCTAAAACGAAAAAAACTTTATGTGATGTTTTCCATTTTAGTGGGGGGAAGAGCGTGTAAAAATTTTAAAAAATGAAAAATAAAACAGTCATCTGGAATTACTTGAGCGCGTCAGATATTAAAAGAGTATACGCGCTTTGTGTTTCTGATAACCGATGAATATTAATCTGAGAATAGATAGTGGGGAGTGGCTGAGAAAAGCGGTAAAAAATAGAAATAAAATTAGTTATTCGAGCGTGTCAGACATTGAAAGGGAATGTTTAGTGAATTCAAAACAATGTTCGATTTAAATTCCTGACGATTTGGACGTGACCTACACTCATGCCTGATTTTTAAAAATGTTAAAAAAATGTTAACTTATAATACTCAAGTGCGTCAGATTTTTCTACTGTGGGTTCAACTCGATGTCAGATCTCGATCTAAATGATAATCTGACAATTATGTAAAGGGATATACGTAATCTGGCAATTTCAAAACATTTTTGATGTAACAATTTTGGAATAAACATTTTTTTTGATCCTTTTGTTTATTACTGGATGTAATAAAAAAATATACTAACGCACATATGAGAAAGAATAGAAAAATCAATCTTTAATATAAAAGCAAAAATATATTATTAAAGAAATAAATAATTAATCTTCATCATCATTGGGTTCATCTTCGAGGTTGGTTTCCACTTCTTCAACTTCCTCGTCATCTCCTGTTTCTGTAAGCAAGAATGTTTATGATACTTCGCAATTTTTTTATTTATTTCATGATATTATAGTATTCAATGGTTAACGTACCTGAATTCCATGCATCTTCGAAAATGTCAGGTATTATTACGATATCTTCGTATGCTTCAGGAAGTTGGTTTCCAACAAACCCAGTCGATAATAAAAAAATAATAATAATAGTCATAATGGATATAAAACTTATTTCATAAAATTCACGAAAATATTTGAAAACACAACAAACACACCAAATCTATACGCTCATGCTTTATCGACTGTTTTAGCTACATCGCCGCATCAAAACCGCCAGATTATATGTTTTTCGTAATCCGCGCTTGAGTATTTCGAGGTGCCTTTTTTTACGACTTTGTGACTCCCACATTTCCTTATGTCACGCTCAAATTGTCAGATTACTGGAATATACACTTTTCTGGATGTACTTAAGTTACCTGTTCTTAATCTGATGCGCTCGAGTTTTTTGAGGATTGTTTTTTTTACTAATCTGACGGACTGTCCTAAACGCACCCCAATATATAAATGTTTCATATTTGGTAGGGGTACATTACAGGGTGCAAGGTTTCTCTCCATATGATTTTCTGACGCGCTCGAGTAACTCGCAAAATCCCCGCTTGGGCACCCCTACCAACAAATTATAATTATTAACTTTCCATAAAGAAATGGCTAACTAATAGTGAAAATATTTTTTGGTAGGTAATTTTTGCTTAAATGCACCTTTGCTTTGTTTAAAAAAAGTTTGTCCCCTTTAGCATTGGTCTATGTCCTTATTATGACACATTGTTTTGTACACATTTATCACTCATAATTATTACTCTAGTGATAATTTTTGAATAGTGTAATTCAAAAAGTAATTTGCAGGTACTGACATAGTCTTGAATCATCACCAGCTTATTAATGTCTCCACATGCCTTCCTTATGGATGGAAAAGGTAGATTGGGCCATGATCCACCACGCTACGAATGCCCAGTGTGGTTTGGTGGGTGCTAATGACTGCAGATGCAGCTGAAAACAAGGGCACCTTCCGAAGCACGGAGGAGCTCGAGATAACACCATGAAAAAGTACTTATCGTGACATAATTTTAATAGTTAGACATATGGTATTGCGGAATTTCTTGAAGAAATTAATGTCTTCTATAAAAATGTCGTCCATCCGCCTTGCAGAACACAGAACGGTCTGGAGATCGTTGGTAAAATGTGCTATCCTGAAAGGTCACGACCCTCAGCCATGAGGAAACGACGATGAAGAAGAAGAAGATAAAAATGTAGTACACGTATTTGTAGTATAAAAATGTAGATCACATTGCTCTATAGTCTTTTTTGGTGTTTTTTTCACCTTTCGTTACACTATCGAAGTTTTCACACTGATCCCTAACATTTTTCAAAGTATTCTATAGCTAATGTTCGTCAGGGATAATGTAGGACTCTAAATGTGTAAGAATTTCTCAAAGCCAAGTAGTTTCAGAGCCTATTCAAGACAAACAAACAATCAAATCTTTGTTCTTTATAATATTAAGATACTAGCGGCTTTTACTTTTTTGAAAATCCCTCAGGAACCTAAAATTTTTGCTGGATAAAAATCCTATGTCTCAATCCAGGTCATAAACTATATGCGTACCAAATTTCATCTAAATGAATACGTTTGGCGTGATCGAGTTACAAACATACAAACTTTCACATTTATAGTATTAGTAGGATATTATCTCCTTTTTGATTGATTGAATGTTTACATATATGCAAATTATTTACTATCCACTATTTTTATATTTATAATATAGGTATTATATATTTATAATTAGATTATTATCTTCCTAAAAATTTGTTGACTGTAAGTAGATTTCTGCTATACAAGTAAAACAAGCTTTATTATTACGACTTCATAGCCGTTATCATAAACCCTTACCAACAGGCAGGACTATGCTTATTTCCTTATCTTTTATGAAGAAAAGTTGTCTGATATAGAAAAAAAAATACCATCTCTTATCTATTAGACAAGTCCGTCCGTCCGTCCGTCCGTCCGTGGTGCTGTTTCAGCGGCCAAACCGTAAGAGATAGATATAGAGAATGTTTAAGTTATAAGTTAAGAATAGTCTGATAAGACTACAAACCGGATGTGAGTAACGTTGCACTTCCGGTTTTCGAGAAATCACGTGATTTCTATTTCAAACGAAACCATACAAAATCTCCGAAGTTCTCAATTAATTAAATACATTTTTTTTTTGTGAACATTTGGTTCACTGGTTTGCTAGTTTATATATAATATCAGTGCCTCCGATAGCATATCTTAATTTATTACTTTATAGCCATTTAGTTTTAGCCAATGTTAGCTGAAGTATAGATAA